ACGTGTTGTTTATCGTCGAGTGAAGTGAAAGACACTATTGTTTAGCGCTTCAGATGTCATACGAATTTCATTTGAATTAGTGGTCGAAACGAGCGGTCGATTGAGTGACACAACGGACACAACGGACGCGAATCGATGGCCAACCGGACGATCAAAGACGCGAAGACAGTCCACGGAACCAATCCTCAGTATCTCATAGAGAAGATCATCAGAACTCGTATTTATGAGTCCAGTATGCTGTTGATACTGATCGGTGCCATCGTTTTGGCACAAATAGGTCTCATCTATTGGAGGAAAAAGAGTTTCAAGAGTTACCAAAACGTGTCGATGATAGGCATGTGGTTCGTGCCCTTCGCCCTCTCCCTATACAACCATTGGTTCCGATTTGTGGCCATTTGGTTGGCTATCTCTTTGGTCACCTGCGCTCTCATCAGTAAACCCCTGTTTAATAAGCACCTGAACGCCGGATCCATTCCTCGGCTCATCTATAAGTGGTTTTATTTATTGTATTCGTTGTCATCGGTTGTGGCCGTAAGCGGTTATATGATAATTATGGCCACTTTGTTGGGCATAAACCTATTGCTCGGCCTTAAGCCCAACGTTCCGCTAGACTTCGGCTTTTTGTTACTGTTTTACGGCATTTATTACGGGGTTCTGACCCGTGATTTCACAGACTTTTTAGTGGACTTATTGGCGGCGAATATCGGCTACTATTCGCCGTCGTCTTCACTGCCATCAAAACAACTCAAATCAAGCGTTTGCGCCATTTGTGGCCGCAATCACAGCGAGTCCGCCGAAGAGAAGACGTATACGTTGACGTGCGGACACACTTACCACGAGTATTGCATCTACGGGTGGTGTTTGGTGGGCAAGAAGCAGGTCTGTCCCTTCTGTCGCGAGAAAGTGGATCTCAACAAACTCTTCGCATCGCTTCCCTTCCAAAAGCCGCACTATCTGTACGGAAATCTACTCGACTTTATCCGCTATTTGATCGCTTGGCAACCGATCATCATATTTGCCGTCCAGTGCTTCAACTATGTCCTCGGCTTAGAGTGAAGTGACCGCCGATTGGCCGGCATTTTATTCACAACGCGCGCCACTTCTTCGTGAGCAACACTTTCTACCGATTTTCTCATTCTTCGGGTCTGTCTTTGCAAAAGACGGATCAAAATATACTTTTAAATTATTATTGACTCAATTATCTATAAATGAATTATTAAATTAATGTTAATATAAATTTCAAATAAAAGTAACAAATAATTAAATTATTGTTTTGTTTTTAATTTCATTTGTTTTTGTTTTATAGGAGTTTTATATTTCAATAAAATCTTAAATTAAAGTTTATTTTAATTTTGATTTAAAGCCTAATTTTGCACTCATTTTATTTTAATTTTAAAACAATTACAAGTATTAATAATAAGTGTAACAAATAGCTGATTGAGTTGGAAAAGTGAGCCTAACATCGAGGTAATAGTGACCGCTGGCCCTCTCATCATAACCGAGTGTCTCATTAACCAAATTTTCAAATAATTTTTAAATGCAATTTATGTTTTAAATTAAATCAAATCAATTAAATTAATTTTTAACCACTTTTTAAGATCAAGAATTACCAAAAAGTTATACCAAAAAATAATAGCCAATTAATAATAGACGTTATTTATGCATACAATTCATTATTTATTTGTGACCCCTTTTGAAAACTGTGTTCACTTCACTGCATAACTGTATTGCCATTCGTTTTGCTTGTGATGTGATATTATAGGAGTATTGCAGTGAAAACCACTGCATTAGAGGTGGTGTGGAATACGGGGTAAAAACGTGTTGTTTATCGTCGAGTGAAGTGAAAGACACTATTGTTTAGCGCTTCAGATGTCATACGAATTTCATTTGAATTAGTGGTCGAAACGAGCGGTCGATTGAGTGACACAACGGACACAACGGACACAACGGACACAACGGACACAACGGACGCGAATCGATGGCCAACCGGACGATCAAAGACGCGAAGACAGTCCACGGAACCAATCCTCAGTATCTCATAGAGAAGATCATCAGAACTCGTATTTATGAGTCCAGTGACACAACGGACACAACGGACGCGAATCGATGGCCAACCGGACGATCAAAGACGCGAAGACAGTCCACGGAACCAATCCTCAGTATCTCATAGAGAAGATCATCAGAACTCGTATTTATGAGTCCAGGTATTGGAAGGAAGACTGTTTCGCACTCACCGGTGAGCGGATCCACACCACAGACCACTCAATGCCACACAAATTAACGTGAATTTATTTTTATCGATGCGTTTGTTTAGCGGAACTGATTGTCGACAAAGGGATAGAACTTCGATATATCGGAGGAATATATTCCGGGAATATAAAGCCGACGCCATTCCTATGTCTAGTCCTGAAACTCCTTCAGATACAGCCCGACAAAGACATTGTCATCGAATTCATACGTCAGGAGGACTTCAAATACATGCGAGCGTTGGGCGCCTTTTATCTGCGGCTTATCGGCAGCTCTTCCGATGTCTTCAAGTATTTGGAACCGCTTTATAACGATTACAGAAAACTGCGGCGAATGGGGAAAATGGGAACCTTTGATATCATACATATGGATGAGTTCATTGACCTGTTGTTACGCGAAGACCGTGTCTTCGATGTCATTCTTCCGCGTATTCTTAAACGCAAAGTACACGAAGAGAGCGGAGAATTGGGTCCAAGAGTTAGTGTTCTCGACGACGACTTGGAGGCAGAGGCGGACTCAGAGGAAGACCAGTCCAATGACGTGAGTTGTGGCTTACATTTCCACAATTATTTGATTGCAAATATATTCATTCATTTATTAGGAATCGTATGACACGTCGCGACCCGATCGCCGCCAAAGAAGCAGATCCCCAGTGCGGAGACGTCGAAGTCGTTCGCCTCCCACCAGATCCAGGCGTTCGAGGTCTCGATCCCGAGAGAAACGATCGGAAAGAGAGCGCCCGGAAAGGGAGAGACGGGAGAGGAAGCGCTCGAAGTCACCGAAACGGGAGAAAAGCAAACGCGAAAAGAAGGCGAAGAATGAGCCAAAGGACCCAAAATTGGACGAAATAGCGGAAGCGAACGCATTGAGGGCTAGACTCGGACTCAAACCATTAAAGCCATAAACTTTTTATTTTATTTCATACAAAATTAACTCTAAAAGAAACTCTCAATCATTTCTGACTGTTTTCATCGGTTTGTGTTTGATTTGGTGACGAAGACTCGGAGTTGGGTCCGGCGTTCGGCACTTCGCCTCCGCTGTCCAACTGCTTAAGTAGTCTGAAAAGAGCGGCCGCTTCTCGTATGCGAGAAAATTCAATACAAAAAGCTTGCACTTCAATAAACACATCCTATTATCAAATGTAAATACAGTGTAAATAAACATGAATTTCTTAATAAACAATGAGTTAATGTGTAATCACCTGAACGTTAATTATCTTATTTCTGATGAGAGACTGAAGGAAAACACAGACCAGTCTCACGAGTCTGTTCTGCATATATCGGTCTTTAATCGTTTCGCACGTTTGTATGCAATTAGAGATATATAAGTGCATGAACTCTGTGGGCAGGTCTACGGCAGTGGTCAACCTATTGACCACTTCCATAGAGTGGACAGACATTTCCATATTCACTAAAACCGATAGATATTCCGAGATCTGACTCGATTGCATCAAAATAAGCAGCACTTCGATGGCAATCAACGGATTGTTTTCGACCAGTTCTGGTAGTTTGGCGGGCGTTAGGCCCAAGTGATAGGTCAGCTTCGGGTCGGCCTCCAACTCAGACAGCAGTTGCTGCTGTTGTGCAATAGTGAGCGATCCTTTGAACGCTTTGCTCATCAGTCGTTTGGCCTCAACGCCAACCGTATTGCTGATACACATGGATGCGTCCCAACACAGCTTCAGTTCATTGATTTCAGACGGAAAGAGCCAAACCAACTGCTCATACAATTCAGCACTCAATTAGACAACAATCAAAATGACAGTCAATGGCGTACCTCATCCTGACTGATGTGTAGTGGGGGTGGGATTCGTACCATCTCTGGCTTAAACACTTGTTCGCACTTCGGGTTCGGCCCACAAAACATAGTCTCCAATAGATTTTCTTTGGATTCGCTCTCATTTTCAATTACAAGTCCACTGATAATAGATTCAATCGTTCATTCATAAGACCAGTTGTAATGACATATAACTTACGGTCTATTGTCGGGATCCGCTAAAATGGTCGGAACACCCGCTTTGCTCGTAAAGGGAAGTTCCGATTGGCGTTCACTTAAGGACATAGAGAGGGCCGATATATCGTAACTCTAAACAAAACAAATCATTATTTAAATCAAAGTTACGATTAAAATAAAAATATATTGAATACCTTATCGCTCGGGATCTCTGTGTTTAAGACCTGTTTTGGTGTTTGTTTTATGAGCTATCGTTGAGTTGGGATTTGAATCAATCAATCGTTAGATAAATTAATTTAAACAATGAAACCACAAATCACTCACTTCTAGCCGAAGAGCGGGATTAGTAATGAGTTGGGAAATGAAATACTTCTCTCTGAACGACAATTTAGGCCAACAGACAGCCGAGGAGTTCATCTCGTGTTTGGATTTGGCGCTCAGTTTCGGGCCTTCTTTTGACGGATTCTTGTCATTTGAAGAGCGGATCAATTAATTGATTAAAATTTATGTAATAATAAGACAAATGCATTATAAGACTCACTAATATCTTAAGAAAGATGGGAACAAATGGGTTGTGAAGAATGTGTTCATCCCTATAGAGTTCGTACAATAGGAACAAAGCGCTCAACTTCTGTGTGTCTTCGGGGATGAGGTCGTGGTGTTGTAGTAATGTTGTGATCGACAGACCAATGCTGAAGACATCGCATTTGGACAGCAATGACTGAAATGTCTGTCCGATTGTCTCGAAAGTCGAGTGATTTGTCACGTCTTCACTCAAAACACTGATTCAATACAAAACAGTCAATCAATTGTCATATCAATCAATACCACACTATCTATACCTCAACAGTGATGTCAGATCTTTTGGTGTCAAAGACATTGTCGGATATGTTGTTAATTATATTATTAATTATATATTTAATTAATTGTTTTGTCAATTGTTTTGAAGTTTTTTTTCCAGTAAAAAGTCATTTAAAGGACACAAATAACGTCGACTTCAATGAAAGCATTCATTGTCTGAAATGAGCGCTAATTTTGAAAATTCATTTCATGTGACGATTAAAACACAGTTTTAAACATAGCATTGATTTAATGGTATATTAAATGAAAAATAGTTGTATAAAATATAGTTTAATTTAAAAATGATTGAATGCAAAGTCAATAGACATCAAATTTATCGATACAAAAGGCCAGCCCTTGCTCTTCGTATTCCTTCCGAGTTATGCACAGTTTGTTCAAGAGATCCGTGTTTTGGGCCACATATCGACCCGATTGCCAGATGTATGTCATAGGACTGGGCGGTAGGCATACGTTCACGTCATATAAATGCGGTGCCGTTGACCGCACGTCCGAATAGACCCGCTCTTTGATGCCACTGAAGCCACAGTTTCCGCCTTAACATAATTGAGACATTAAAACATAAAATTCAATGCAAATTGTGTTGACAGAAGACATACCAATAAGAAGTATATTTTCGTAGAGATGCGGCCGAATCTCCTCTGGAATGGTATTGATTGAGTGATCGATTGTGTGTGAAATACCCATTTGATCGATGCCTACATCGCTGGGATGGAAGAGCAGTTCCGGCACTTGGAATCGCTCGTTATTCATGCGAATCACCTGATGATCAGTGATGGGTGTCTTGTCGTTCGGGTCGCGTACGTAACCCCTCTTCAGGACCGTATAGTCGGGCAAAACATAGTCACGAATGATTGGATTTCGTCTATCTTTACAGATCTCCATATCCTTCCAGAACTGGTTCGACACATAACACGAGTCCTCTTTGGCCTGATTGACGACATGTGTCTCGTCCAAGACATTCAACTGTCTGTACGACACGATGTCCTTCAAGTGATTGGTCATCGCTTTTCCGCCGCAATCTATTCTCCTAATGGATTCCTTAACTCTTTTATCTTTAATGAATGGCACGATATGTGTGAACGAGAAGCCGGAATCGACCACAAGACAGGCCATCGACGACTTGTTGTCGTTATAATACTTATAAGACGCTAATTGAGGACCCGTTGCGCGCAAAAGACTGGCGAAACCGTACTCTTCGTATAGGATTTCTGTCATATTCTCCTGAATTGGTTTGAAATTCAGCGTCGGTTCAGTCATTATAAGAGTGGTGTCCGAGAAGTCGGTCTTGAGTTTGGTTTTGAAGACATAGTCCCATATCTGTCGCTCTAAATCCCAATTAACGAGATATCCCTTCGAGAAGGGAATCAAATAAAACATCTGTGAATAGTCTTTGCAGTCCTCCATCTGGTCTCCAATGAACGGACGCCTCCTCTCGCTCTTCACTTTGCTTATGCAGTTTGGGATCAGTCTTCAGATTGCGGTCAAAGAAAACAAACATATGATCAATCATTTCAATGTAAAGACAATCACTTTATGGACAATACTTAGGTTCGGTGTCAGTCGACAAACCAATCTTCATGGTATGCGCCCCGTTGTCCGCTATCAACACGTTTGACATTTTCCAAGCTTTGTCTCTACTTTTCCTCAATTAACGAATGTATATATCAATCAATGGATCAGTTCTTCACTTTCTGACATTCAATTATCAATAATTAAATTATTTATTTATTAAATAAACTGTAATTTCATTGTATTTTAAATGCCTATAGTTTTGGCGGACAATCAAATGTTGTGACGCTTAAGGGGGCGAACATGTGGTCAGGGGTTTGGGTATTGCTATTGATTTTCTATGCACTCAACCCCTTATCCGGACGTTACCCACCCCTCACACCTCTGTACTGTTATATGTGTACGAGTTTTATATTATTGTTTTGTCAATACAGATACAGTCAAAACTCGTTATAAGTTTTATTAATATTTATTAATCATTTAAATCATAATTAAGTTTAGATTAAATTTATAAATAATTTTATTTTTTGAACACATATTTTGATCAAAAATTATTATAAAAATGAGTTTTCAATCGAAAAATAGACGAAATGTAATGTAAAGTGAAATAACTTTGAGTTATATATTGAAAATGCGGTCAAATTGAGTGTCAAAACGAGACAATAGACTGAAGCCATGGATCAAATGAATAGTGTCTTCTCGCGAAGACTCTTGTCGTCGTTTAACATAAGCGATGAATTGATTAATAAACTCTTCGCGAAGGGATTGACATTGAAATCACAGATTCAATGGTTAAGTGACAGCAAATTGCGGTCAATGTGTGGCTTAAGTGAATCAGAAATGGATGTGATTAACAAAGTTGTCAGACATTCACACAAAACAGCCATCAATGCGATGACAATCCAAGAGATGCTTCGGACCCGATATCCGCCCCTTAAGAGTCCCTCCTTTTCGTTGGACAGAGCCCTCGGCGGAGGACTACAAGTGTCTCAAATCACACAATTTTGCGGTGAGGGAGGAGTCGGTAAAACCCAGATCTGGTACTTGTTTTTAATGATAATCTTGTGGTAAGACTTTGTGGTAAACTGTTGTCTCATTTAAAGTATGCAATACTGTATTAACGTTCAACTGCCGCAACGGATGGGCGGTCTGTCTGGTCAGGCTCTCTATATCGACACCGAAGCCAACCTAAGACCGCAACGGTTGGCATCGATGGCACAGTTTTATCTCAATTGTGACCAACAATTACGGGAAACTCATTCCGTGGAGTCGATGCAGTCGGCCGTTCATGTCTTCACGTGTAACACAACCGCCAAAGATTTGGTTGAATTGATTGTCACACGAGTCGAGCCATTCATTGAACACAATCCGCAAATAAGACTCGTTGTCGTCGACAGTATCGCTCATCTGTTCCGATATGACTATAACGGAAGTAACGATCAAAAAGACTACGAATTGTGTCAAATCGGACACAAACTCAAACAAATAGCGCACACGAAGAAAGTTGCCGTCAGTTCTGTCTATAGTTAACAACAATTCATTCTTTAAATAACCATTTGATTGGACCACAGGTTGTGATCGCAAATCAGGTCTCGTTTAGCTTTAAGGAGAATAAGAACGTGCCGTCTTTGGGCCGCATTTGGCAGGCATTCTGTTCCACGAGTTTTATGATCAGAAGAATGTCAATCGATTCCACAAGAATCGGATCTACTATCAAGTCTGTCAACTTTGACAACAGTCGCAAGTTTTACGTTAAATTAACCGTAAGTATTGTGTTTCAAACAAATTACATATAATTATTGTATTTATAAACCATTGCATTGTATTATCATCAGGAAAATGGTGTCCAAGAAGCACTATCGCTTCCAGGCTATGACTAGTCCACAAAATAAAATTTTCAAATAAACTATAAAATCGTTGACTAAATATCAATTTTATTGCCAAACGTTTTGACTTAAAAGTCAATTAATAAAGTTATTTATCATAAATGTTAACAATTTTTTATAAAAATGTATCCAAAAAACAATTGTAATTAAAATTACTGTATTATAAAACAAAGTTAAAGTTTTGTATTTTTGTGCAAAAGTATTGCAACCAATTGACTATTAATTGAATAGAAAATGCATTTATATATTGCGGTATAAATTGAATTAAAGTATGAGAAATTTGAGCTCAATATCACATATCACTAAATAAAATGATCAATTGGTTTAAGGCATCGGGTATTACAGTAAATGAGAATTATTGCCAAATAATCATCACTTCTTACGCTTACGACTGGTGTGAATGGCGTTAGGAATTGATTCAACATTTGGTGACAGGAATTGCCTTTGGTTTGTCTGAGATTCCAATAGTGGGCTCATCTCCAGATCCGTTTCATAACTGTTGTACTGTTTCTCCCATTGTCTCCATTTGTCGCCACTTTCTTGTCGCCAATTAATCCATTGTTTGACTTCTGTTTGATTCACGTTTCCGTAAACTTCCAATTGTTTGTAGTATTGATCGCGTATTACATTAAACGCTTCTGTGTTTGCAAACGGGAGTCGACTGATTGGATCAAAATAACGGGCCGGCAGTTGAGTGACCGGACAGACCGGGCGTTTCAAAGTCTTAAGCGATGAATTGGCCAATGATTTCGCTAATGAGCCGAATGTCTGGTCGTCGCTGAATGTAATGAATGTTCGCGAATAGGTTTTGGCACCGGATTTATGGTTATTATGGCTAATACTGCCGTCACTTCTCTGATCATCTAATTCCTCGATTAAAGGCATTGAAACCGAATTAAACCGAATGAACGGACCATTAATCGTGTGTTTCTTTGTTTTCGGTCTTTTATTTCTTTCCAATTCGAGTCTTTCGTATTCCCGAAGAGACTGTAAATTCAGTTTCTCTGTAATCATAGCCTCTTTCAGAAGCTCTGATTGCGTCCATTCTTTGGCACAACTCTTGCCTTTGGATTTGGGTTTAGGTTTAGGTTTGGATTTCATTACTTTTGGTTTGCATTTCTGTCTAAATCTGGTTTTCGGGCCATTATTTTGTTTGAATCGCTTCTCAAACATCTTTTCGATCAAATCATCGCTTTTAGCAGTTCTTAAGCTTTGTGTCGAAACAATTGATCCAAAGTCTGGAATATCTATAACGACTGGAACTCTCAGTTCGTTGGCTTCTTTGGCGTTGGATTCAGTGGTGATCTTTGGTTTCATTCGTTTCGGTCTCTTATTAGTGACCAAAGCATAGGTTTGTTTGCGTTTAGTCTTTCGTTTCAAATCCTCATCGTTTTGGTCATCACTTATCGGTTCGTCGTTTTCATCAATAGAAAAGTCTGAATCGACGATATCTTCGCCATCAGTGGTCTCATTATCGGTGGTGTAGTCGATGTCGTTGTCGTCCTATGGGTTGTATCCAAACAAATGAGTCATTCATTCAAACAAATCAAATGAAAACCTCTTGAAATCCGCCGTAAATGTCATCATAGAAGTGGTCGACGACTACCTCTTCGGTGTCCAACAGTTGACACATCTTTGAACCGGCGTTCGGCCGACGGATCCGATTCGTCGACAAAGACATCGTTACCGAAGATAATGGACACAGAAGTGGACAGTAGTTGTTGTGACACTTGTTTACAAAACACAACAAAACATTTATCACAATATTATTGACCACTAATTGAGTCATAAATTACGACAACTTTTGAATGCAATAACAAATGAGACAAACAGTGAAAGCATTGAAACCAATGATTGAGGGATTCATTGAGACAAACGGCGAGTTATCGCTGAAGAGGACACTCAAGAGTGGTCAGGCCTTCAGGTGGAGACTCACCAACGATGGCACCGATTGGGTCGGTGTTGTCCGCAACACACATGTCGTCCAATTGACACAACAACCCGATGGCAAACACATCCACTATCGGGTCCTCAATGGCCACGAAGACAATGATCACAATCAAGAGATCAAACCCACAGTCAAAGGCCGCAAGAGATTGAAGACATCCGACGAAAGCGATGGCGAGAATCCCAAAGACCAATACTTTTACTCTCAACTCATTAGCGATTATCTGAGACTTGACGTCAATTTAACCGATTTGTACGACAAGTGGTCTAAAAGTGATGACAAGTTTGCGGCCATCGCTGTCAACATGAGTGGAGTCCGAGTTTTGCGGCAAAACTTTGCCGAAACTCTCTTCTCATTCATCTGTTCCTCAAATAATAATATCAATCGAATCGAGAAAATGATTGAAACTTTGTGTCAAAAGTATGGAAAAGTTTTATACGAATCGCATCCAGAATTGGGAACAATTCACTCCTTCCCAGAGATCACACGTTTGGCCGAAGAGAGCGTTGAACCAGAGCTCAAGAAATTGGGTTTCGGGTATCGGTCGGCGTTTATTCACAGATCGGCCAAAACTATATGCGATGAATACAAGTGTCCGGAAAAGTGGTCACAAGAATTGGCACAAATGCCATACTCTGAGGCCCGACAGGCACTGCAACGACTGCCCGGTGTTGGGCCTAAAGTTGCCGATTGTATAGCACTGATGGCATTGAATCACTTGGAATCGGTGCCGGTCGACGTCCATGTCTTCAAAATTGCTCAACACATGTATTTACCACATCTCAAGAAGAATAAGTCGTTGACACACAAGTCGTACCAAGAAATTGGTAACTATTCGCTAATTATATCACCAAAAAAGTGATTTTAATTTTATTTGAATATAATTTTAGGCGACTTTTTTCGGTCCAAATTTGGTCCGAACGCCGGTTGGGCTCAAGCGGTGCTCTTCTGCGCTGATCTCAAACAATTCAAACAATAATTGTCTCGCATTTGATTCAAAACAATCATTACATCACATATTTTGGTTTTAATCTCAATATTGAACACGAATTTTACGTACATTTAAATAAATATATAAAAAAAACTAATTAATTAATTGACAACTAATTTGCATTACTATTATTGACGAGATATTTGCCGGCATTTACTCATCGAGTGTCGGAGGGCTTCAAAGCCAACGATACACCCCATCACTGACGGCAACACAAATGGCCGGCTTTTGGCCATATTTCTTGACTTTTGGATCAAATAAGTGACCGAAAATCCTGTCATTAAATATATGCAAAAATTTATTTCGTTTTTCACGTTTAAAATGTGGTTTTGATTTGTAAATTGCAATACAAACCGATGCAAAACACGGCCAACCCTTTGGCCACCGCACGGGTGGAGCACTCGTTGAACTTTTTCTCTGAATTATCATCCATTTGTCGACCAATTAGTTCCCATTTATTATAATCACCACAAACTCAACACTTTCATCATGTGATTCAAAAGTAAATCAAAACATTGCTATTTATTATGCAATCATTGCATAACTCCTCCCAAACGCTGTCATCACGTGTTCACATGTTTTCATCACTTTTTTGCATTTGTTAACAATTGTCTCGACTTGTGTTCAAAGTATTGATATTTTAAGACAATTTGTGGTCTCGTTGAAGAATGAATGAAACGGTGATTATAGACCTAAATGTGGACAAAACTTTACTCAATCCACACTTCGAGTCCTATCGGGTGTCGATCGACCCAATGGTCACTTTCTCCCAGTCTTTGGACTGTTGTGTCAATGAGTGTCGACTGTCTGACGAGGAATACAGTTATCTTCACCTATCGATGGCCTCACAGTATAACCACTTGTTTGCCGATCCCTTCGCACCGCAGACCGTATTTATGGCCACAAATGGTGTTGTGTCAATGAGTGTCGACTGTCTGACGAGGAATACAGTTATCTTCACCTATCGATGGCCTCACAGTATAACCACTTGTTTGCCGATCCCTTCGCACCGCAGACCGTATTTATGGCCACAAATGGCGGACAAATAGTTTGCGTTTGCATTGAAATGATTTGCGGGAATCTAACGAAACCCAAAGCCGTTTATGCGGTTCCCGAAAGTGATTGCTCTTTGATTACCATTTCATTCCCGAACCACTCTTTGGCTCTCATTTCCAATTCAAAGGCCAATAATCCCGAGATATATATCGTGTCGACTCCCAGTCGGTCGGCGTCCGAGCCGTGGCTACTGTTGTCGACAATTGGTTTAAATGACTATTACTTTAACACTCATTTTCAGTTGTCTTGCAGTCAATCAATGGATTTGTTGAACAATTGGACACAAATTGAGTGCATTTTATGGTTTGTGGACAAAAAGCAAGAAGATAACAATGATTTGAATAAAAACTCGACTCAAAGTTCATTTAATTCAGTATTGAATTGGTTTACAATTACGGGAAGTGTTGATGAATGCGATTCTTGGAGAGTGAAGAGACACAGAAGAATGGTTGGCAAGGATTGGCCGAAATATGTGTCTTTCGATCTCATAGGAAGTCCCCTCTTATGTCTTGTGTCCGACAAAGACTTTTCGTTTGCTTACGATTCCGATAAACCCGTTATCGACACCGAAATGGTGTCCAAACCAAAGGAAGAACCAAAAGTAGTGTACACTTACTCTCAGACACTGGAAGACATTTGTGTCACTTTTAAACTTCCCGTTCATATCACTAAAAGTGATGTATTTATTGACTTAAAGCCCACAAAAATTGATATCAAAATCAAAGATATCATTGAATTTGAGGGCGAATTGTATCATACGATTGACTCAAACACTTCCGTTTGGACTCTTCAGTCGGAACAAGACTTCCAGTTACTGGAGATTACAATCAACAAAACAGATAGCGGACAGGTCTGGAGGGAACTGATCAAAGGTGACACAAATGGTGTCGAAATAGTTAACAATGAAATGATTGAAGAAACGCAACAAAAGTTAACTTATTTAACGAATGAAATGCCAGACATAGAGACCAATGACTTCGAGAACAAAGTTTACGATCCGTTAGGACTCGAAGAATGCGATTTCAGCAACACTTCACTCGCTTTCAGCCGATATAACGGAAACACACATTCCATTAGCCATCGAATAGACTTAAGTGGTAACCACTGGCTCTTCACAATCCCTGTCCAGAAGTCAGTTAATAGTGATTCACAAGAATTACCATATTTTGTGATCCGACACGACGTCGACGCTCTTGTTTGGGGACCGCAGAGCTCTTCAGACATTAATGAGTTCGGAGTCAAACATTTGGCCACTTTTGCGGCATTCGGTTACGTCCAGGCGTCCAAAACCAATACCCGATTCATTGCCGCTCCGAATGATTTCAGTTATGTGGCCATCGCTGACGGGTTGAGACATATTTACGTTTATCGACAACCCGTTGGTATACAAAGCGGTGAACTCAGGAATAGAAAGACCGGACGGGAAGTACAGACTGTTGCCAATCAACACGTTATCAATTTGAATGACTGTCAGTATATTCTCGGTATTCACGCCATTAATGACAGCATTTTTGTCTTAAGTAATGACAAAATATTTTTGATAAAATTATAAAACATTAACATGTATTTGATTTTTAACTGAAAAACAATCATTGATTTGTAAACTAAATGAGTACAGTGCAACTTCTCCATAATGAACGGCCAGTTGCACGACAAAAGTGTTTATTATAGGGAGGGTTCATCCAAGGGAGGTTCTGTTATAGCTATAGAAAGTCCAAAATATATTTCAAAATCGTTTATTATGAGGAGGTGTTCATCCAAGAGAAGTTTACCCAAGAGAAGTTGCACTGTATATGTTTGTAAATTAGCTGTAATTATTGTTTATACGGCGGGTCGCGATCATAGCATCGGCCGTATATACCCATCGATAGAATCGGTTCAGTAATATCTGGTAAATTAAGTGATACTTCAGAACCAATTTGTCTGGTGTTATGGAAAATGAATCGATCGGTTGGTATTTGTTTCAGATCGTTGGTCGTCGCTCTCGGAAACGTGTAATTAGTAGTGAATTTCGCGCTAACTTTTAAATTCTTGAAAACAGTTTTGTCAGACTTCGTGGGAACCGTCTCACAGCTGTCGTCCGAGCATAGTTTCTGTGGCGTTTCGAGAAGTGTTTAGCCTATGGAATCGACAACCTCAGGCACAGGTGAGGACAACCGGTGATGGTCGGTTATGCTCGAGAGAAAGTTTAGTTAGAGTAATAACCGGCATATCACGAGTTGACAGCAAAAGCCATTGTTGCAAACTTCGGCCGAATTGCTTTGGCCTTTGAGTTTGTAAAAAGCGCTTCCCTTCCAATCGGTGTACTTTAAGGGTCTGTACTCCGATGTGTCCACTATATCATCCATTTCGATGCGTTTGGTATACCGATTGGTCAGACACTTCGCACCCGTATTCTTACTATCGATCGGTATGTCTGCAATCAAGAGAACCGCCTTCTGGTCCATAATATTCGAGTCAATGATCGCCCCGTTCTCTCCCGAATATATACCGCTACCACTGGAGCCTAAGTTTAATATATAAAATGTTAAAACTCTATGTATTTTTAAATACTACATAACATTGTGTAGCGGATGACAGACCTGATTGCGGTGAATGCATGTCCGACGCCAATAGGTTAACCCGATAAGTGTAGGCCCAGCTCTGTTGGACCTGATTTGCCGATTTAAAGGGCAATTCGTCGAACCACCACAACGGGTAGATCATTGTTTGGACGCCGTATTTGTTGACCAGATCTGTGCCCGGGTTTCGGAACAGAATATCGAAACATACAAATAAACCCATTCTTCCGAAGGGTGTGTCAAAGTGAATGAACTCATCTTTCGGAACATTATAATGGTATTCATGGAATAATTGCATTTTGTGATACTTGGCCAACACCTGGCCGTCCGGACCAAACGCTACGTCCGTATTATACAGATTGTATCCATCGGCCGGACAGTTAACATCTGTGCTTCGGTCGCAATCGACGCGATCGCCGTAATGGCCGACAATATACAAGTTGTTATGTTTGGCAAAACAACTCAATCGGTATGTCTTCACTCTGTCCTCATATTCCGACGGATTGTCGCACGGAATATGAGTGCCTGTGAGCGGGTCTGGTATGCGCTCAGCGATTGCGGCCATTACAGAGCGCGGGTATCGGGTGTTGATAATGGCGTCCTCCGGGTATACCAACATTTGGACGCCCTTTCGTGTCAAACAATTTTTGATTCAATGCTATAATCGATGGCAAGAATTCATACCTCTTTAGCAGCGATGGATGCAATCCTTTCGAAAACATCGAGATTTCGCTTAACTATAACCGGAATCTCCTCTGATGTCAGATTACCGAGTGGTAAGTGTTGGAAGACTGCGGCTCTAAAGCAGTCCTCATTTTCGCAGTTTAAGAAACTTATTGCTAATGAAAGCAATATTAGATGAAAAGGACGGCAAAACATTTCTTTGCCGATTAGAGCCTATCCGACAATAATCCCTATTTATACACAAAACACGGCTTCTTATAAAACTTATAATGTTTTCTGCAATATATCTAATCTATAAAGTAATTTAAAAATATAAAAACTTTTTAAACATCAGTCGCTAAGGCCTTATGTAACTAATTCACCACATTTTAAATAATTTGTTTGATAGGATTTAAGGTTAGAGCCATGAACTGAGTATTGCTATCATTTATAATTGAATATCAAAGCATACATTTGTGAATTGAATTCAGTCAAATTAATGGCAAATTCGTTTATTTTAATCAAAATGATAATTAGCGACATATTATTGTAATGTAATTTTGCAATACAATAATCAAAACAATGTTATGTATTAAAATGAAGACAATGTTTTAGGGCCTCATAAATATTGTTGGCATTAGTTTTGCAGGAATAGCTTCAAAATACTGAACTAAAGTGGAGTACAGTATTGATAGCACTGTTCTCTAAAATGAAAAAAAAAATTCTAGCATTTGATTAGATAATCAAGTTTTTTAAAAACAAGTTTTCCATTCAATACTTTATTTAAAATCTACTTCACGTCACGGGAAAGACATATAAAAAAGTAAAAACAATGTATAAATGCAGAGATTGTATGATTAGTGCATAATTTGAAGCCAAGTGTGCAATCAGTCCGAGTCGTCGGATATTTCGATTTCTTCGTATTTGGGTTTCTTAGCCAAAGTGGCTCTTCGGGGAGAATGTCTTCTGCTCTCAGAACTGGACGGTTCCCATACATCCAGAGTGCTCTGAGTGGACGCCCGATGCTGTGACGCCGGTTCCCGTTTGACAGCAGTGGCGCGTCCGCGACCTCGCGCTCGACCTCTGGCGCGAGATCTGGTGGCTGTGGAGGCGCCTCGAGTTCGAACCACCACAACGGGTAGATCATTGTTTGGACGCCGTATTTGTTGACCAGATCTGTGCCCGGGTTTCGGAACAGAATATCGAAACATACAAATAAACCCATTCTTCCGAAGGGTGTGTCAAAGTAAATGAACTCGTCTTTCGGAACATTATAATGGTATTCATGGAATAATTGCATTTTGTGATACTTGGCCAACACCTGGCCGTCCGGACCAAACGCTACATCCGTATTGTACAGATTGTATCCATCGGCCGGACAGTTAACATCAGTGCTTCGGTGGCAATCGACGCGATCGCCGTAATGGCCGACAATATACAAGTTGTTATGTTTGGCAAAACAACTCAATCGGTATGTCTTCACTCTGTCCTCATATTCCAACGGATTGTCGCACGGATTATGAGTGCCTGTGAGCGGGTCTGGTATGCGTTCAGCGATTGTGGCCATTACAGAGCGCGGGTATCGGGTGTTGATAATGGCGTCCTCCGGGTATACCAACATTTGGACGCCCTTTCGTGTCAAACAATTTTTATTCAATGCTATAATCGATGGCAAGAATTCATACCTCTTTGGCAGCGATGGATGCGATCCTTTCGAAAACATCGAGATTTCGCTTAACTATAACCGGAATCTCCTCTGATGTCAGATTACCGAGTGGTAAGTGTTGGAAGACTGCGGCTCTAAAACAGTCCTCATTCTCGCAGTTTAGGAAACTTATTGCTAATGAAAGCAATATTAGATGAAAAGGACGGCAAAACATTTCTTTGCCGATTAGAGCCTATCCGACAATAATCCCTATTTATACACAAAACACCGCTTCTTATAATGTTTTCTGTAATGTATATCTAATCTATAAATTAATTTCAAAATATAAAAACTTTTTAAACACCAGTCGCTAAGGCCTTATGTAACTACTGTTAATATTCACCACATTTTAAATAATTTGTTTGATAGTATTTAAGGTTAGAGCCATGAACTCAGTATTGCTATCATTTATAATTTAATATCAAAGCATACATTTGTGAATTAAATTCACAGTCAAATTAATGGCAAATTAGTTTATTTGAATCAAAATGATAATTAGCGACATATTATTGTAATGTAATTTTGCAATACAATAATCAAAACAATGTTATGTATTAATATGTAAAACAGTGTTTTAGGGCCTCAAAAATATTGTTGGCATTAGTTTTGCAGGAATAGCTTCAAAATACTGAACTAAAGTGGAGTCCAGTATTGATAGCACTGTTCTCTAAAATGAAAAAAAAAATCCTAGCATTTGATTAGATAATCAAGTTTTTTAAAAACAAGTTTTCCATTCAATACTTTATTTAAAATCTACTTCACGTCACGGGAAAGACATATAAAAAGTAAAAACAATGTAGAAATGCAGAGATTGTATGATAAGTGATACATAATTTGAAGCCAAGTGTGCGATCAGTCCGAGTCGTCGGATATTTCGATTTCTTCGTATTTGGGTTTCTTAGCCAAAGTGGCTCTTCGGGGAGAATGTCTTCTGCTCTCAGAACTGGACGGTTCCCACACATCCAGAGTGCTCTGAGTGGACGCCCGATGCTGTGACGCCGGTTCCCGTTTGACAGCAGTGGCGCGTCCGCGACCTCGCGCTCGACCTCTGGCGCGAGATCTGGTGGCTGTGGAGGCGCCTCGAGTGGCCGTTTGCGGTGGTCTCACCTCTTCCTCCACATCCGAATAATCAAGTCTATCATTATTTCCCATTTCATAAGCAATGTAGTCGTCGTCTCCACCGTTCTTGGGCTCAGCTCTAGGAGTGGATCTGCTTTTGTGTCGACTATCGGCCAGAATTCTGGCCAAATCTTGAGTGTCGTTCTCGAATACATTCTCACTTCGGAGTCGTCTAATCTCCTCTTTGATATCCTCGACTTTGAGTTCATCCAACTCTAGCAAACATTTCTTCATTTTCTCCTTCTGTGCCTCAAACACATCAGCGATCGCTTCGTTTGACTCCTTTTCGACCATTTCTACGACCGCGAGAGTCAACGCATTCTCCGATAGAACTCCTAATTTGAGTTTTTGGTCTTCAATTTTGCCGAAATATTCTTTAATGATGTCTATTATGTTAACTCTCTCTCCGATCACGTCGTCGTTCAAAAGAGCGCGCATTTCCTTTAAGTCAATATTGCCTTCATTTTCGTAAACGCGATCCTCTTTTCGCTTCACGTAATGAATGATATCGGAAGGGTTGGCCACTCGGCCCCCGAACTGTGCGCCGAACTGCGCCGCGTGGAACTGTTGGCCGTCATCCATGTACTCGAGTCGCAACCGAATCAATGGCAGTCTCGGCTGCTTCATGTCTCCCGTGTGCTCCAAACTCGCCTTTTGGATCATTTCCTCCACTTTTCCCTTACAATACTGAGCGACCGATTCTTCGTCCGAATTATTGATAAAACCCTTAAGAATAAGATCCGAAACGTCGATCGATTCCCAAATGAATGGGCGAACGGTTTTCAGCTTTCGAGTCGTTATTCGGAACTTTGGGGTTCGGGTCAAGTCATCGAAGGACACCTCAAGTATACCGCAGTGTTTGGGAACGGCTTCGGCCTCACACAGGGATGTGGCGACAGTAGATCCCGGCTGATAGACAAAGAACTCTTCGGTGGCGTTATAGTCGGGTTCGGGTCGTGACTCGTGTTCGTGACCCCATATGACCAGATTCGGCAAATCCGAGAGAAACCTTTCGGGCAAATACTTGGTGTTGACGTGTTTCGTGCGGTTCTGGTGGACGACCACCACTTTGAACCACTCGTCTTCGGCCGTCTCAGGCATACAGTAATTGAGTTTGCCTTCAGTGACGATACGGTAGAGGCGCTCCTCATTGACTGATCCCAAGCCATACAACGCTATCTTACAGTCGCCCTTCTCTAACAGAATGGGACTCAAGAGAATTTCGTCCACTGATGTGTATTTGCCGAAGTAGTTGACGAGTCCGGCGCTGGAGAGGCTGTCCAATGCGCTGATATGGTTGGCACCGGTGGGGTCGTCGTGGTTGCCATGAATGGTGAACACCGGCAACGAGATGTTGAGGTTGTCGTCCAAATAGTTGGCGTGTTTGAAGTTCTTGTAGTGCGAGAAGTTGTCGCTCTGATTGGACACAATGCGGAACTGAATCGGACGACTCCCGAAGCAGTACTGACGCAACAGTTCGATCGTCTTCTTCAGCGTCGGGAACGACGGCTTATTCGCGTGGAACAGATCGCCGCCCAATAGCAACAGATCCACGTCTTCCTCTTTGGCTATGGATAGCACCTCTTCGAACGCAAGGAACGAATCGTTGCCTACAAATGACACAATACATCACCAATCGGTTCCCGAGTTAACACATTCACGACAATCCATACCTCTTTCGGCGTGTCTTTCATTATAACCCAAATGAATATCACTCGCGACGAGAATACGGAATGTTTTGCTGAAGTCCTGACCAGACATTACGCGATCGACTCAATGGTGGGATCAGTTGGCGAAGAGGTTTGCGATGCTTTAGCTGTCACTCAAAGCGATGATTGGCTCGAATGGGGTCTCAATTGTCCGCTCGTTTGCCGTTCAATGCATGTAAACATTGCATCACTCGCTGTGAGACAACCAATGCATGTCTGACACAAAGCATTGTGCAAATAGTGGCCCCAAAACATGTATCGTATAATTTGAGCGCCAATTGTGGCAACAAATCAAATGCATTGCAGACGTGAAGTCACTTGTATTGAATGCATTACACAATACACTGTAATAGCGATCGACAAAACACTGAAAACATGTTTTGCGTAATAATTGGTGTTTAATTGTAATGTGTTTTTGCAAAACAACACAAGTCTTACGTGACATACGATTCATACAGACGTAGAGACAGTGTTTATCACGTGATTAGATCTCGAGTCGAGTGATAACACCAATAGTATTACAAACCGTTATATAAGAACTGCTATTCATTTTGTGACGCAATTTATAGCCACTTATAGTGTTGTGAAAGACATAAGACATACCATTGGAGACACATTTGGTCCACACGTTGACAACAATAACACCACTAATCACACCATCGATGCCAATGAGGGATGTGTTCGCCACCACTCACGCGCTCACACCTGTGGGCGCCGACCGCCAGACCCTCCGACCCGTCACTCTTCGGACGGGCGATAAGGTTGTGATCGGACGCGACGTGTCGTGCGATCTTCGCATCGATTCACTCGAGATCTCCAGACGTCACGCCATTCTCAACAGCGAAGACAATCACTGGTTCATCACTGACTTAGAGGTAAGTGTTCGGCACACACTGTCTGCGCCACCAATTGATCCCATGTTTTGACTTCTTGTATCTGTGTTTGCGTTGAATTCAGAGCACAAATGGATTGTATATAAACGACAGACCAGTTATCGCTTTCACTCCGTATTGTCTCACAATTGGCGATAAGATAGCGTTCGGACCGTCGGGTCAGACGAAAGTGATCTACAAGTTTGAGGACGAGTTGTGCGCCCGAAGTGAGGCCGCAGTACTGACGCCGAAGAGGAAGCGCGTCGATGACGAGCCGTTGTCTGCGGCGCCCAAACGACAGCGCAATGAATGGCAACAACTGTTCGATTCAGAGCTCAGTTGTTCCATATGTCAAGAGTTGTTTGTCTCACCCGTGAGTCTCAACTGTTCGCACACTTTCTGTCACTCATGTATAGAGCAGTGGAAGCACTCGAATGACAACAAACGCCGCGAAGACTCCGACGATGACGACGAAGAGGAGGCTGAGAGCAGTGACGGCGGCGGCCGTCCTGTCATCAAACGGGACACTAATTGCTGTCCCGTTTGTCGACAACTGATTGTCTCACAGAACAGAGTTCTTGTATTGGATAATACCATCGATTATATCGTCGAGAAGTGGAGTCCAAAACTGGTTGAACACAGGAAACGATTGATCGAAGAGAGGAAACGTTTGACGGCTTATTAAAACGGCTTTGATTTGTGCGTTATTTTTATGGTCTCTTCACTTACATTGCGTTTAAACTCTTATATGTTTTCATTTGTTTAACACATTATAAATTTTATTTATTTGTTCCGACATTTCTTATTACATAACAATTCTGTTACTATTTTCATAGATATGTATTCCGTTTAACTTGTGTTTTGATATAGTATTTAACGCTCATTACGAGTATCACAAAGATTACAAATAAAATTATAATAAGTTTTATTTATTCATTAAAAGCTTATAAATATATTGTATATGATTTGTAATATTTGTAAATTGTTGTGAAGTGTATTTGTTTTCCATTCATATGTTTATAAATACGATATTTTTATTTAAATAAATTTCTGTATTTTGTTTGCTATTTATCTGTTATTTAATGTGAAGTAAAATTTGTACGATTTATCAATCGATTCATTAATGAATAAAATAAATGCTTTTATGAAATATTTTTGATTACAGACTATAATATACTTGAAAACAAATCTAATATAAAGTATTTAAGTGTTGGATCTGATGTATAGATATGGTTATCATATATTCTTATTGTCATCGATGACCCGATCGGGTTGTATCCATTTATGCTGCAGAAGTGCATCCATGGTTAGCCGAGTTTCTGGATTGGGTTCCAAGAGGTGCTTAATTACATCGTAACACTCGTCGGCGTAGTCGTCGGGGTATTTCATTCTAAACCTCTTATGCATCATATTGTCCCACATTTTGGTCATTTCTGTCGGTGTATCAGATTTGGCTCCAAAGGGAAACAACGCGTTCACCATAATGAAAAGACACACTCCGAGCGCCCACATGTCCGCTTTGATGGGATTGTATTCCTTCAGTTTAGCCACTCTTACGCCGTATTGACAGTAAACAAAGAGTTTGAACACTTGGGGTGACATGTATTCAGGAGTGCCGACGCCTGACCTCTCTTTCTGGACCTGCAGGACGTGATCGCCTTCGCCTTTGACGAGTCGGATACGACTCAGTCCGAAGTCAGTGATCTTCAGGCACTTCGAGCCGTCCTCTTTGTTGAATATCAAGATGTTTTGCAGTTTGAGGTCTTTGTGTGCGATTAGTTTGGAGTGTAAGTAATTCAGTCCTAAAACTATTTGAATGAAATAATCTTTTGCTGTCTTTTCGGGAAACCGTCTAAATTTGCTGTCTTTGGTATGGCTTTTGACTGCCATACTGTCCAATACAGTGCCCCCATCGGCCAATTCCATCACAATATAGTACTTCTCGCACTTCTTGGCGCTATCAATGATGGCAAAAGAGCTCACGACTGTCACTATGTTCTCGTGATCGCCAATCTTTCTCATAATCTCCAGTTCTCCCAGAAATCCGTCATAGGTTTCCTTGTTTGAGGCGTTGTCGTCCACTTTGAATGCTTTACATGCCATCAATTTGTTGGTCTTTGTGTTCAAAACCCTGTAAACGGTGGCGAACGCACCGCTACCGATCTGATCCTGTATTTCCAAGTTTTGATCCTTAATACACTCGTCGTAAGTGTGAAACTCTGTGGGAATCTTATACTTTTTCACGAAACCTTTTGTCGAATCTGTTATCTCCAACTTCTTAGGACTGCCACTGTTTTTCTCCCTCTCCTTCTGATTGGTCTTGTTTTTGGTTTTCTCTTTAGAAGGTTTGGTCTTAAGACACGGACAACACATTAACAAACAATTAAGTATTGCAGACATTGTCTTCACATATGATTTGTTTCGCAAACCGTTAACACTATTTCAATATTCAATAAAAGCTCATTTCTATCGTAAATAAACGGTTAAATTAAATCAATTCAATTTAAATTCAAAACCGAGAGAGAGAGAAACAGTGGCAGTCCTAAGAAGTTGGAGATAACAGATTCGACAAAAGGTTTCGTGAAAAAGTTATATTTCAAATCATAATGAAATGGCATAATTGGATAACAATTCAACTATACATAGCATTAATATTTTATATTTTGGTGATTTACTCAACCATTTTTATTAAATATTGAGAGAGAGAGAGAGAGAGAGTTCAACAATAAGTTACTTTAAATAAGTGACAAAACCTAAACTGAATGTGATTTATATGATTTGAATTAAACGATCATTTGTTTGAAAAGTTAGTCTAATTATAAGGTTTGGATGGATTGAGAGCTCATTTGAATCATTGTTACATTCGTTACAATTAATAAGCGTTGAAACGATTGCCAGTGTTTTGTGAGTCAATCAACACTTTATGCTGTGTTTGACGTAAAGCTTACTGTAAATAATGAAAGCGTGAATTCATTGTTCACTTCATTTCAAATCCAATCATTTAATTGCAATTCATTTGAATCATAAAAACCGTCAAAATTGTGGTCAAAGCATGTCTTCATACGAAGACCAATCTGGAGACAACTCGGATCAGATGTCTTTGGATGTCAAGTAATTTAAATTTTAAATCTTGACTTCGAGTCATTGAAAAAACTATTATTTTTACATCTTTTTTGCTTAACATTTGGTAATCGTTTTGAAAACGTTTTCATTGTTTGCGGACAACAGAGACACACAAGAAGTACAGGAAGAAGAAGAAGATGCGGACGAAGAGGAGTTATCTGCGGAATATGTGGTCGGAGGCTATCATTGCGTCCAAATCGGTGACACTTTTCGCAACAATCGATACCGAGGTTTGTCTTTACAATGCATTCAACGAATCACTAATTGATGACTTGTTTGCCATTTATTGCATGTGTTTGTGGTGTGAAGTGATCCGAAAGCTGGGTTGGGGTGCCTTCAGCACAGTGTGGCTCTGTCTCGACTCCAAGACTAGCGATTACGTGGCCATCAAAATAGTCAAAAGTAAAAAGTCTTATCAGGAATCGGCTGAAGAAGAGATCGAGATGTTGTCGCAAATACAACGATCAGATCCGACCGATCCTTTCGCCCAAAGAGTGGTCCAGTTTTTGAATCACTTCAAAATACGCGGACCTAATGGGAAGCGTAAGTGTGATCACTAGTGACCCGCTATTGGTTTTAATAGATTTGGTTTTTTTTGTTTGATTGAAATTGTTGTCAATGAAGATCACTGTTTGGTGTTTGAAGTATTGGGCGATTCATTGATTAAATACATGAAAAATTCGCACAAAAAAGGCATTTCTATGGAAATCCTTAAGATTATTATCCGTCAAGTATTGCAAGGATTGGAGTATTTGCACACAAAATGTCTGTTAATTCATACGGATATTAAACCCGAGAATATTCTGTTGACAACCGATAAACGCCGAGTAAAGCGATTGCATTCACAAGTGATTGATATGATCGGCGTTTGCGGCGAAACTCAATTGCCGACCAGTTTTGTGTCCACAGCGCCGGCAAAAGTGCTCAAGAAATGTGATACTTATTATAAGCAAAACAGAAGTGCAAGCCTTCAGAAACTGCTTAAATTGAATGTCAAAACCAATGACAATGACGTCAATCACAACGTTTTAAACGGTTTTAATTAGTTTTTTTTGTCATTTATTTTGCATTATATTTAACAATAATTTCTTTTAATAGAAGAAGACATGAGTGAACTGTCGGTTAAACTCGCAGATCTAGGAAACGCCTGTTATGTGGTATTCAAATGAAATTATTTTCTCAATAAACACGTAAAACAAAAATACTTTTGACATTCAGTACGAGAATCACAACTCGACGATTCAGACGCGTCCGTATCGGTCGCCGGAAGTGATATTAGGCGCCGCATTCGGTCCGTCGGCCGACATCTGGTCGACCGCTTGTATGGCCTTTGAATTGGCGACCGGAGACATACTCTTTGATTCGCACCAAAGCGGCGACACTTCGCGCAACGAAAATCATTTGAAACTTATTCTCGAACTCTTGGGTCCCATTCCGAAGACCTCTCGCAAAGGCATCGATCAGATCCGACCGATCCTTTCGCCCAAAGAGTGGTCCAGTTTTTGAATCACTTCAAAATACGCGGACCTAATGGGAAGCGTAAGTGTGATCACTAGTGACCCGCTATTGGTTTTAATAGATTTGCTTTTTTTGTTTGGTTGAAATTGTTGTCAATGAAGATCACTGTTTGGTGTTTGAAGTATTGGGCGATTCATTGATTAAATATATGAAAAATTCGCACAAAAAAGGCATTTCTATGGAAATCCTTAAGATTATTATCCGTCAAGTATTGCAAGGATTGGATTATTTGCACACAAAATGTCTGTTAATTCATACGGATATTAAACCCGAGAATATTCTGTTGACAACCGATAAACGCCGAGTAAAGCGATTGCATTCACAAGTGATTGATGTGATCGGCGTTTGCGGCGAAACTCAATTGCCGACCAGTTTTGTGTCCACAGCGTCGGCAAAAGTGCTCAAGAAATGTGATACTTATTATAAGCAAAACAGAAGTGCAAGCCTTCAGAAACTGCTTAAATTAAATGTCAAAACCAATGACAATGACGTCAATCACAACGTTTTAAACGGTTTTAATTAGTTTTTTGTCACTTATTTTGCATTATATTTAACGATAATTTCTTTTAATAGAAGAAGACATGAGTGAACTGTCGGTTAAACTCGCAGATTTAGGAAACGCCTGTTATGTGGTATTCAAATGAAATTATTTTCTCAATAAACACGTAAAAACAAAAATACTTTGATATTCAGTACGAAAATCACAACTCGACGATTCAGACGCGTCCGTATCGGTCGCCGGAAGTGATATTAGGCGCCGCATTCGGTCCGTCGGCCGACATCTGGTCGACGGCTTGTATGGCGTTTGAATTGGCGACCGGAGACATACTCTTTGATTCGCACCAAAGCGGCGACACTTCGCGCAACGAAAATCATTTGAAACTTATTCTCCAACTCTTGGGTCCCATTCCGAAGACCTCTCGCAAAGGCATTTTGAATTGGCGACCGGAGACATACTCTTTGATTCGCACCAAAGCGGCGACACTTCGCGCAACGAAAATCATTTGAAACTTATTCTCGAACTCTTGGGTCCCATTCCGAAGACCTCTCGCAAAGGCAAGTATTTTAAGAAATACTTCAACTCAAGCGGACGCCACTAACCTGTGTTTGCGTCTGGCGATACGTTATGGTGAAGTTAGCTAGTTTATAACTAGTTACTAATGCTTACCGTAGGTAGCCACCGTGTTCTTAAGCGTGTTAAGAACAATGGTTACGAACTTTACGATTCCACCAAAAGAATCACCGCTTCTCAATGCCTCCGTCAACCGTGGCTTAACAGCTGATCCATAGTGTTATCATTCACTCTATAGATCAGTATATATTGTGAGGAATTAGAAATTTTTATGAAACGTTTTTATTTAAATATTAATAAAAAAAACTTGAAAATAATTATACATTTGTTTTGATACGCCTATTATGAGTGACTTGTTTAAGCTTTTTATAATACTGTAAATTACTTTATAAATCATTTCGTTTATAAACTATTTCATATTTTGTTATTTATTAATTGATTTTCTATTTGTCGGCACATTAAGTCCATTAATATAATTTTATTCATAATTCAATTATAAAGTAATCCATACATTAAAAATTGGTAAATTGATAATTTTTACAAATTCGGTTTTAAAATAAATTTATTTGATTGTAAATAATTTCACAAAATATTACATTAATTTATTATAATATAAAGATTCCGTTCCAAATTGGGATCTCTCTCTCTCTCTCTCTCTCTCTCTCTCTCTCTTGATTGGACACAAACGCAGACCGCTATGCAATACCACTTCAATCGATCAAATATTGATCAATGATTACGAATGGCATCCATCGGTGGCACAAGAATTCGCACAATTCTTGTTACCAATGCTTGAAATTGATTCCACCAAAAGAATCACCGCTTCTCAATGCCTTCATCACCCGTGGCTTAACAGCTGATCCATAGTGTTATCATTCACTCTATAGATCAGTATATATTGTGAGGAATTAGAAATTTTTATGAAACGTTTTTATTTAAATATTAATAAAAAAAACTTGAAAATAATTGTACATTTGTTTTGATACGCCTATTATGAGTGACTTGTTTAAGCTTTTTATAATACTGTAAATTACTTTATAAATCATTTCGTTTATAAAATATTTCATATTTTGTTATTTATTAATTGATTTTCTATTTGTCGACACATTAAGTCCATTAATATAATTTTATTCATAATTCAATTATAAAGTAATTCATACAATAAAAATTGGTAAATTGATAATTTTTACAAATATTTGTTCGGTTTTAAAATAAATTTATTTGATTGTAAATAATTTCACAAAATATTACATTAATTTATTATAATATAAAGATTCCGTTCCAAATTGGGATCTCTCTCTCTCTCTCTGAGAGAGAGAGAGAGAGAGAGTTATAAATTATTTTTACCAACTCATTTAGTGGTTTTATATTTTATAATTACGATACATATCAACTTAACAATAGGTTAATACGGTAAAGTAATACTAAACTTTATATTAGTGATTTGTCTTTAAGTTGTGGTAAACTTTCTGTTCGTGAGATCTTTCTTAGCGGCAGTGAAGTGGCTCTTCTTGATAGGGATCCGTTGCAGCCATCGTTACGTTTAACAATATTTACCGAAACTTCTTTGCAATTGATCGATGAATTCAATGGTTTTGTGAAAGCCTTTTGGTTTATATTCAACGACTTATAGGGCGGAGGATTCTTGTGATCGCATTTCTCTGTGATTTCATTAATTGTTGTGCTTTGAGAAGTGGGTAATAATGAATGAATTCTGTCCTTTGAAGAAGTGATTAAATTCAAAGAGTATTGAGATCTACTCGACGACAGAAGAGATCCCCTATGGTTGGCTGATTCCGGTGTTTGTGGCAATAAATTAGTTTTTTGTATAATAGATCGAAAAGACCGGTCGTTATTGGGCTCTAAATTCTTGGCTCTATTGCGAGGACTACTACTCCTCAGCATTTCGCTGGACAGCTGTCGTGTCTTCAGTTCTGGCGTTTGACTAGATTTTAATTTTTGCGAAAATAATATTTCTGTCAATGAATTCCGGTTGCGATCGGAATGTGTTATATATTTTCGTCGCGTCTTTCTCTGTTCACTCTCTCCAACCAACCAATAGGTTCTCATGGGTTCGCACTTCCCTTTCAGTGATACGATTCCCCTTTCAAAGAGCAGATAACCGCCCAAACGGTCCAATATTTCCTTGAATTGTTCCGAACAGTGAATTTTCAGCGGTTCGCTAATGGATTAGATTTCATGTTATATGTTTTGAAATACAATGCAATTTATGCAATAGAGTATACACTTATTGTATACTGTACTCAATTATATACCTGGTAGATTCAAGTCTGGATGCAGTGTTCACTGTATCACCTATTATTAAAATTATAAATTATAGTTTGCAGTCATATCTAATGGTGAAATCTCACCAAAAAGGCAATATCGGGGCATTTTTATGCCCACAACTCCCGCACAGACGGGTCCGGAATGTTACGGTTAAGAGTAGTATTTGAAAAGCAATCCGTATACAGAATAGAATTTTAAGAACTAGAGTAGGTTATCCAACTCTCGGTATCTTCGCTAGAGACTACGCACAGACAGAAGTAAGGATTACCCTTGACCAGAAACAACCCTAATTTCCACAATAAACAGAATATTAATCCATTATTTCAATTTATAATCTTATATTTAATATAATTTTTACGTATTAATTATGTATATTCGCAGAGGATACCAGAGTTAAAACATCTGCAGTATGCTAAGATTGCAGCGCAGTTTTTCACACTTGTTTAGTAACTCTTTAAGACACTAGAAATTGTGAAATGATAGCAATAATTAATATATTCTGAATTTTGAGATAACATTACGACAATTACCTGAAGAGGAGTGCTTTGAGACGACAGTTTAGTGAAGCCAACGATATCACTAAAGTTATTATAGTTATAACATTAATATTCTGTTAACAAATGAATCTATAATTGTGTTCACACCTGAAGAAGACAGTGACGGCATCGAAAGATTCTGCCTCAACAGACTGTCCTCTGCGGAGGGAATCGGCCACAGAAGTCGGTAACATCTTATAGAGTAAGGCATCGGTTTTCTTCTTTTCCTGAACCAATTGTTCAGTCCTTTCATCAACGGTCGCCTCTAAGTTAGTCGTGTATCTCTCCATCATATCCAGCATATTATCCAATATATTATTTTTGAGCCCTTTTCTCATTGGTCTCAAGCGATTCCGGATTGTCTTAAAATCGGGCCTTTCTTCGGGAGCGAGTCGGGTTGTGACAAAGTAACAGGTTTACGTTCTGAGCCCTTAGAATATGAAAAATGGTCTTAACAGAAATATATAACTGAGGGAATTGTGTAGGTTACTTCCAGATTTGTTAAGTAAAGAAACCTTTCTATTGATTATACGACTAATGATTTCTTTATAACTCAAGAGAGTGTTGACGAAGGGCTCCGAACGTGAGAGAACTTCATAGAGAATAATACCAAACTTTTATAAAATAACAAAATACTTGTTAATTAAAATTCAATAAAATATATGTAAAGTAATGTCTTTATATGAATTACTGAATAGACGTCGGCTTTTTGTGTGCCATTTGGTGGCAAATGATTGGGACGAAGCAATTCCGGCGCTTTCCATACAAGTTGTTCGCACTGTTGTTCAACAGTTTGGCTCATCTCTTGGTCGCACTCGCAGTTGGCCTTAAGCTCATAGAGACCAAAGTCAGTGATCTTAACGATCCAACGGCTATCCACTAGACAATTGGTTGACTTGAGGTTTCCGTGGGAATCGATTGGTGACTCGTGAAGGAATGTCATTCCCTTTTATAATAAATAAAATTTTCATTGATTTTCATTAATATTTGTCAAATATATAATATTCACTCTAATTATGTCGCCAAAGTAACTTCGCTATTTTTAGACTAGGTTTAACTGTAGTGAAACTTATTGTAGGAATTCTGATGGCGCTCTCGTCATTAGCGAATTTTACGTTTATAACCCGTAAAGCTGCCTGCGTGGCTATTTACAGTTCAGATTATCGTGTCGTAAGTCTTTCAGCTTATCATACAATTGAATTTTATTTTCAAATTAGTTCAAAGATTTATAAAAATTTACTTTTATTGAATGACTTTATAAAATAAATATTATTTATAAAAGTTTTTAAATCCATATAAATATTTTCAATCAATTAGAAAATGCTTACAATTTTCAAATCTTTTTTCATAGTTCTCGTAATTTCGACATTTCTTTTGGACAAACTTTTGATGGCAACGACTCTTCCTTTATATAACCCAATAGTTGTGTAGACATTAGAAAATCTGAATTCAAGAAAATCTTCGGCTGATGTCAACGATTTGACTCTCGATATTGCTCCGAAACTTTCAAAATAAAATTAATAAAATATTTAATGAATATGAAAATATACATTTACAATATCACAAAATACATGAGTTGTGATATAAGCAATAAATTGTGTAGTAATAAATTGTTATCTCATTTTATATGCTTTTTAAAACTTTAAAATAATATAAATTTTAATGACTATTGCATAAGAAAAGCATTAAGATTACAGAGAATCCTATTTTACTGTACTTTACACTAACTTATTATAACACTCTATACATGCAATTATTTATTTATTGCACTCAATTATTGAAAGGATTTAAAATAAATAAAATGTTGTAAACATATTTTGAAATCAACATTAAATCTGATTTAATTAATTTTAATGTGCGTTTCATAAATACAAAAATATCATAAGATTGTCTTACTTTTGATTTAGTAGTAATAGGAGTGCATTCACTAAACATGAGTTCTCTGAAGTCAATCTTCCACAAGAGACTGTCCAACTCCTGCTCATACATCCAATTCTTGTACATAACAAACACTAAGAGTAACACCAATAGGAAACCAACTGCAGGAATCAGTGCCCACCGCCACAGGGTTTCTAATGTTAACAAATTATTTTAGTTTCTTATATATGTTATAAGAAATAATATATAATATATTGAATACTCGGACAACTTTGGCCATCAAAACCACAAACTGGTTCATCCGATGGAGGCCTTCCGTTAATCCATTCAATTGAATCAATCAATTCCAGTATCTGTTGAGTAAAATGTACTAATATTTTGTCATAATTATGCAAATCGTATATTACGGGTAAGTTTGATAAATTGTGTGGCATTTGAAAGACACCGATCGGATATAATTTGAATCAATCAATTCCAGTATCTGTTGAGTAAAATGTACTAATGTTTTGTCATAATTATGCAAATCGTATATTACGGGTAAGTTTGATAAATTGTGTGGCATTTGAAAGACACCGATCGGATATAAGCCAAATTTTGTTGACTTATTTTTTGAAAATTTTCTGGCAATTAATGTATAGTTTCCCTCCGCGTCTCCAAATTCATTCATACGAACCATATATCCCATCGAGCCTTCAATTAACAATTGTTTCATTATTTTCTATTCATTTATATCCATCGCATAGATTATATTAAGAGCATTTGTGTATATTTGCTATATTTTGTTAAAATTAACCTTCATTAAGTTTTATATACAAAATAATATTAACAAGCTTTAAAGTTTTTAAAACAAAATTCAGACTTTTAAGAAAACCAAGTTCGTTATATTTTAAAGACTAAAACACTGGTAAAATTTACAATAAAATATCAAGTGTATTAACATTCATACTGTATGCTGTATTTGTTTCTAAATGTTTGAAAATAAAAATTGATTTATTAAGCAAATGTCTGTTAAATAACTATTGATTATATTTTTATTAATATTTTAAAGGATTTAATGTTAACTCATAAATACTGATCGCAAGTAATTGTTTAAACGCTAAATAACTTTATAACTTTAAATGAGACTAACTTTGATACTCTCTATTCTTGATAAA